GTCATACACACATGTATATGTAAACTACTGTAGGGTTTTGCAGGTTTGCCTGGTCCCATGGGCATTGATGGGTTACCAGGACTACCGGGTCAGAAAGGAGATAAGGTAAAGGTGCTGCCAATGACAACATGATAATCTATCTACTAAAACACATGAATATAAGACCAAGTAACTGGCCTGAGCTCTTTTTGTCAGGGTGAGAAAGGAATTGGCATACAAGGTATTCAAGGTCCTCGTGGAGAGCTGGGAGAGAAGGTACATGACAAGAAAATAACATTTTTAAAAAATCAACTATAAATACAATGTTATCATTTCATTTAAGATGAAACAAAGTTTATTCATAGAAGCCAAGGCTTTTGAGGCTGAGGCTGTGACACCATCAAGAGATGCATTCTGGAAAAGTTCCAGTGACAATAAATCGCCGACTAAATTTGTAGAAAATGATTCTTGGTTTATGTTTCTATGATTACGTGAGCACTGCATTTTAAAGTAAAGACCTGCAATTTAACTGTGGTTTCTATCAACTAAGCTTAATAGAATGACAATAAGAAGCAAATTGTCTTATATGGCTGATTTTTAAAGTCAAATCTGACTGTTATAGTTGTATTAATGTAAAATAGCCCATTTTTTGTTTCACTGTTTGGACTTTTGTTTACAGGGCAATATTGGATTAACCGGACCAGTTGGGCCCAAGGTAAGACAATTTATTTTGAACATAAAGTAATCTGTTTACTGGAATGTGATGTATTTCTATTTAAACCAAAAAAATTTTTTGGAAATGAATATGGTCTCACACTTTATTTTTCAAGGGTGAGCGTGGCGAACGGGGCATCCAAGGAATCATCGGACCTCGGGTTTGCACTTCATCATTATTTGTACATATTTCACCCTCAAAAGGCTGAATACTGTGTAAGGATCAGTGATCAGTGATTTAGAGGTGGTGATTTATTTGTACCTGCAGGGAAAGAAAGGATTCAAAGGGGAGCAAGGAGACAAGGTGAGTTCATTCCACTCTCCATTAGGCTGAAAATACTAGCTTTATAATTAACTGTTAAAGCGAAAGAGTCCACTTTATTCAGTCAAGAGTCAGGTTAATAGATGTTTGAATAACATGCATATGCAGTTTTTTGTGTTAACACATGTATATTTGTCATGTTAGGGAGACCGAGGTGAGATGGGACCAATAGGACCACAAGGACCCACAGTGAGTGTGGAGTACATCTTGTGTGTGACCTAAGCTGACAGTACACATATACACATGCTGTGTGCACGCTGAAACACACTGTACATATTGTAATATCCAACTAAACCAACATAATCACAATAGTTTCCTCTGATTCACAAAAAAATTACTGCTAACTTGATTACAAAGAAGATCTGAAGTAGATGCTATATGTTTGGGGGGGGACCTGAAAACCACAATGAAACACTTTCCAATAACTGTTTCCAGTGTCTCCAAACAGACGTCAGATAAATGAACCAATAAAGGAGCCATTTTCTTTCTAGGCTTTATCAGAGATGGCTGTGATTATATACAATCATGAGACAAATTATCAAACCTCACTGGGTGTCTTCTGCAAATTAGCCATTTTTTCTGCTTCACTTACTTTGAAACAGCATAGTCCTTTGGAAAGGATAATCACACAACATACCATCAAGAGTACCATTCTTCCATTGTTTGTAATAGAGTCTTCATTTTCAATTTAAAAAAAATTGCCTTGAAAATAACAGCTATAAAGGTGCTAGTTGACAGACGACCGGTCACAGTAATGGGTATTTTAGGATTTGCAGCTGAAAGAAATTGTGAAAAAATTGAAATTTGTTTTGAATTGTCAGTTGGCACAAAATATACAGTAGTATCTGTAGTATTGATCAACCATAACAGAAAAGGCAATGAAAGATTCAGCTATTTAATGTATTACTTATTTTATTTATTACACATTATATTATTTATTTATTTGATTTATTATTTATTAGGGAGTCACAGGGCCAGTGGGGTTAAAAGGAGATGAGGGTCCACAAGGAGTCCCTGGAGATCCTGCCAAGGGTGTAAGAAAACTGTTTTATTCTTTTAAACTATAAATGAAGGTACCTGATGCTCAGCACTTTCTTTCTCCTGTCAAACCAGATAATTGGTCCGACTGGAAAAAAGGGCGCCAGGGTAAGTAATTAAAGTTAGCTTTTTTTATTCAATGTTTTTCCAGGAACATTTCTGTTGTGTGGCATTATGTACATTAGATCTATGCACACTCTGAGCTGTAGAGCACATCAGCGTTCTTTCAGACTGTAATTTCTTTTTATTCACAGTTTGTAGTCGCAAATTAGGGAAACAAAACGTAAAACTTTGGGGAAATCCTTCTTAGTTGTTATTTATTAAATGTTTAACTGTCAAATTCAGCTAGTTTGCTTCATCAATACTATACTGTGTGGCTATTTTTAGTATATATACAGTGACATCGGCTTCAGTGCATTGTGTCTCATTCCCCTGCAGTGAGAAGGTTTAACGACTGAAAACAACCAGGCTGCTGTGTAAATGCTGTCATGTCTTATGTGTTGAACTTGTTTTCATGCATTTTTCTTCTCTTGTTAAAACATGTCAGTCAGCCAGAGGGGAGTTGTTTTTCTCAGTGTTTTAATGTGTCAGAACCTTGTAAATTCATTGTTTTGGGTATTCTTGCACTCTTACACTCAGTCCTCTGCATCCGTTCATTAAACACAATTAAGATTTTCTCTCATTAGCTTTTGCAGTGGGACAAAATGTTCCATTGAACAGGACCTGTTCAATCGCAGTCCATGGGGTGCCATTTAAAGTGAAGAGCGCTTTGCTTTGAAACTGTTGCACTGATTGATCTTCTGTATGCCTTTGCATGTGTGTGTTTACTTTGTGTTTGTCAGGGAGATGTCGGTCCAATTGGCTCCACAGGCCCCCAGGGAGTAAAAGGTGAACGAGGAGACAAAGGAGACAAGGTTAATAGTAAAAATGGCTGTGCATTTACTCATTTATGATTTGCCAATGCAAAAGTAGAGTAAGCCCCCCTTTAAGTCTAGAAAAAAGTTATTCTATGGCTACAGTTTGTTTTGATGTGTAGGGCAGTCCAGGGTTTGGGATTCCAGGACAGCAGGGACCAAAGGGAGAAAATGGCGAGAGGGTGAGTCACTTAAAGAAATTAAATCACTCATATGACAGTTTGTTGTCATCCAGTGTGAAGCAGGGAACATCCGTTGATTGCTTAGTTTTATCTTTATCACCATTCACAGGGAAATGTTGGTTTGTCTGGAAAACCAGGACCAAAGGTAAGAGAGCGAAATTTTTATTTCTACAGTGAGTCAAATACAGTAACTGTAGTATGTGTAATGTGTAAGGGGCCAATCATAAACAACTCACAGAGAATTATCACCAGACTCCCAGGGCTCCTCGTCTCTAAGGAGTGTTCTCTCACGCTGATGAAAATTAATCTCTCCACGTGCATTCAGTGTGTTAAAATGGGCAACTGTTAGATAGCACATTCTCATACAGTAGCTTGTGCCGCTGCCACCAGGTGGCCAAAAAGTCACTTATCCTGCCTTTAGCTTATAAAGGATGTTGTGTATTTTGGTGATTGTCCATTACAAGTTTAAAAATGCCCCTAAAAGAGTTTAGATTTTTACGGAGGTTGCTGTTGCAATGTCAATTTGTTTTTCCAGGGGCAAGATGGCTCTAAAGGTGACAAAGGGAATGTAGGGTCACCTGGCAATTCTGGAGAACCAGGATCAAGAGGTAAAGATGTAAGTAGTCCTGAGTGGTCGCTACAGTAATGATGCAAGTTTCCTGCATGATACAGCACAGTTTAGATTTACTTAGATTTAATTTCTTACAAAGGTTTATTTGGAAATTCATAGCATCAGAAGAAAGTCCACACTATGACTGCATACGTAGAACATGATAAATGTCTGGACAAGTCAGTCTGTGGTATCATATGTACAGGTAAAAGATTAGATCATCGGTTCTCTGTAAAACACCAAGTAATTCTTTTTCCAGTGCATTTGTTTTTGTGACTAATAAATTCACCAGTCCTTTTTTTATTTTACATATTGTATATTAGCATAGAGAGCTAAATATTTTCATTGCAATATTGCTAACAGTCACTGTTCATGCTGCATGTAGGGTGGACCTGGAGCTAAAGGAGACCAAGGAATTAAGGTTTGGTTAATGTTTGGTCAGCATTTGAACATATAAACATGTTGCATGTTGGATAAGCTGGATTTAAAATTATTTATAATTATTACAGTCATGTATAGCAATACTAACTTTACATTGTTTTGTCTTTCACAGGGTGAACAAGGACCACCTGGAGAGCCTGGTGAACGAGGAATAAGGGTATTTTTTTGTTTTCCCCAAGACTACAAGGCGGAAAAATGCAGTAATAAAGGTTAAAAAATATAGAGTAATGTATATGTAAAATGGCAAAAAGCAACACTAACATTGCTGTCTCATTTTAAATAACCTTCTACTCACTTCTCGTGTCATTCATGTGCGCTTGGGCATACAAGACAATAAAAATTCAATAATACATTCGATGGAAGCAAGTCGAAATTTAAAGCAGGTGGTCAAACTTTAGGTTTGATCACTGCAGTGTGCACTGACTCGTTGGCCCAACATGTCATAGTTTGTTCAAACTCACAGTATGAGTTGTATTTTAATGTGATTCTGGTTTGTTTAATTTGTTTAGAATTCATTTTGATTCCCCCCTGATTTACCATTTCTGTTTGAGGACACTGAAGAATTCTGTTACACATTTTTTGTCTTGTAGTTCAAAATCTACAGGCTCCACTGTCTGGCAGAACTTTTGTTGAGCAACCATGAATATGCTGAAACTATATCCACATAGTTTTCCTCGCTGCAACATTTAATTCTGCATGTTTCCTTTTGTAAAACACTAATGCAAAGCTATTAGTTCTTTTTACCTCAATTCTTATTGTTGATTAGGGTCCGCTAGGGTTACCTGGGCGACCTGGGGATGCAGGAGAGAAAGGAGATAGTGGGAAGCCTGGGCTGCCAGTAAGTAATAAAATTAAAATGAAATTAAACCATTTATTTCAATATGTCCA